CGGACTGACGACACTGGAGGGCAGAAGGGTCAGGGGAGACATGATAACGACATACAAGATACTGCGGGAAATAGACAAGGTGGACAGAGATAGGATGTTCCAGAGAGGGGACACAGGGACAAGGGGTCACAACTGGAAGCTGAAGACTCAGACGAGTCACAGGGACGTTAGAAAGTATTTCTTCAGTCATAGAGTCGTCAGCAAGTGGAATAGCCTAGCAAGTGAAGTAGTGGAGGCAGGAACCATACATAGTTTTAAGAAGAGGTATGACAAAGCTCAGGAAGCAGAGAGAGAGAGGAACCAGTAGCGATCAGTGAAGAGGCGGGGCCAGGAGCTGAGTATCGACCCCTGCAACCACAATTAGGTGAGTACAATTAGGTGAGTACACTCACACTCGCACTCACAAACTCTCACACTCACACACACTAACACACTCACACACACACACACACACACGCAACCACAAATAGGTGAGTAACACAGACACAACAGACACACACACAACACACACACACACACACACACACACACACACACGCACACACACACACACACACACACACCACACACACACACACACACACACACACACACACACACACCACACACACACACACACACACACACTTTAGTTTAATATCTTTATTATGCACCCCATACCCATCCTGTGGGCGGTAGTCAAAAGATTACAAAGGTACATAATGGGTCCAGTGACTGGACCCCAAAGTTATGATAGCTGAACTAGTTACAAAGGTAATGAACTCCAGGTAGATCTGGTCACAATCATGGCAAGCATAGATAGCATAGGTGAGGTATGGATAAATAAGTGAGTGATATAGTGTGAGAAGGGAATTTTGCGGCACGTAGTATCGTATCTTGGAGAGGATCCCAACCGTTTTGGATACTTTTTTGGTTATGTGTTTTATATGGGTGCTGAAATTCAGGTTGTTGTCGAGGTATAGGCCTAGGAATTTGCCCTCATTATGTTTGACAATTAGAGTGTTGTCGATCTTAACGTTAATTTGCTCAACTCCTGCTCTGCTACTAAACATAATATAGTAGGTTTTGTCAGTGTTAAGCATAAGTTTATTGGCTGTCATCCAAGTCGATATTTTGAGCTCATTAACAATGGTGTTGAGGGTGGCAAGATTAGGGTGAGAGATAACATAAGTCGTGTCATTAGCAAAGAGAATGGGGTTCAGGTGTTGGGATACATTTGGAAGATCATTGATGTATATGAGGAAGAGCAGGGGACCAAGCACACTTCCCTGCATAACTCCAGTATCAAGTGGCCGTGTTGATGATGCTGTGTCTTTAATGGGGACATAGTGATACCTATTAGTAAGGTAGGATTTGAAATATGCAAGTGCATGGCCTCTTATACCATAATGGTCAAGTTTGTGGAGTAGGATGCCGTGGTCTACTGTGTCAAAAGCTTTTCTTAGGTCAATAAAAATTCCTAGCGGATATTCCTTATTTTCCAATGCTGTGTAAAGCAGATCTAGCAATTTTATAATTGCATCATTAGCGCTTTTATTTTTCCTGAATCCAAATTGGCAGGGGTTGAGTATGTTTTGTGCCGTTATAAATTAATAAAGTCTCCTGTGCACGAGTTTCTCAAAGATTTTGGATAGCAATGGTAAATTTGATATTGGCCTATAGTTGTTTAAATCTGTAGGGTCACCTCCTTTATGTATTGCTGTAACCCTTGCTGTCTTGAGTAGTTTTGGGAAGGTGCTAGTTTCCAGTGATTTGTTAAAAAGTAAAAAGTAAAAAGCATGCGAAAGGACATAGGCCGCTCGCTTGTACAATAATGGTGGGACATGAGACAGATTCCCTGAGTTTATAATCTCGATGACTTCCGTGGGCTCAGTTGGTACAAGATAGAAGGAATTTGGGAAATTCCCATCTAGGTAGTCCCCGGCATGGGCATTGGTACATGGGATTTTATTGGAAAGATTAGATTCTATGGTTGAGAAGAAGTCGTTTATCTTGTTAGCTGTGTCAGTGGGATGCAGTGGTGTTTCATTAGGTTTAGTTAGGACAATATTCTTGTTTTTTTTCAGTTTGTGGGTCCCAACCTGAGAGTTCAGCTGCTACGAGAGCTATTGGTCACCTATTCTCGCTTCGATACCTCAAAATTTGTTTGTGCACAATCTAAAACCTTCACCAACTGGTATAAGTGCACTGATGTCTCGAATTTCAGTGGGCTAGTGCAACTGGTCCTAACTGACAAATATGTCTGCCAGTCTAGCCGCCTCCATAGCAGTAGCAATTGCTATGGAGGCAGCTAGACTGGCAGACACATTTGAGGTTAACCGCTATTGTCCGAGCGGTCTCTTAACCTTTCTTCCCAGTAGCTTAGTATAAACAGATATCATGGTGAACGAACCTTTGAATTTCAACCGAAGATGGAAGCTGGAGTTGAAAATAGACACCTGCTTCAAAATCAGCAAGGAGCATGGGACAAGATTCCTGAGCCCATAACCTGTTACTACTACCATAAGCCAGGCCACCTGCCCCAGGTTAAGTAAAGCTGATATTCCTAATATTTGGCTGAATAGTAAGCCACGGGCTGCAGACTTCCCTCACTAGATGCTTGAAGTAACACTGCTCCCACTTCAGACTCACATGCATGAACCTGTAAGATAAATGACTTGGAAAAATCTGGGGACAATAGTATGGGAGCAGAGCATAAGAGACACTTGACACAGTTAAAAGCCTCTTGATAACTAGCGAGGTTTGTGGGACCGATGCAAATGACAAAAAAGAATTCCGATTTAAATTACGAAGTAACACCTCTGGATAAACCCAACCTGGATAAGGTCTACCACATTAATCAAAATTACGATGGCAAAAATCTATGCTTTATCTGTTAAAAGTACCTTATAGTATCCTTTAAGGAGATCTAGTTTACAAACAAAAGGCGCCTTACCCACAAAGTCCACTATATCTTTCATACGTGAAAAAGGGTAAGAATCCAGTACTGTGACCTCATTCGCCTTGCGGTAGTTTACCTGGAGAGAGTTTCGGGGGTCAACGCTCCCGCGGCCCGGTCTGAGACCAGGCCTCATAGTGGATCAGGGTCTGATCAACCAGGCTGTTACTGCTGGGCGCACGCAAGCTGATGTACGAACCACAGCCCGGTTGGTCAGATACTGACTTTAGATGCCTGTCCAGTGCCTTCTTGAAGACAGCCAGGCGTCTATTGGTAATCCCCTTATGTATGCTGGGAGGCAATTGAACAGACTTGGGCCCCAGACACTTACTGTGTTGTCTCTCGGTGTACTCGTGGCGCCCCTGCTTTTCATCGGGGAAATGTTACATCTCCTGCCGAGTCTTTTGCTTCCATATGGAGTGATTTTCGTGTGCAGGTTTGATACCAGTCCCTCCAGGACCTTCGAAGTGTATATTATCATGTATCTCTATCGCGTGCGTTCGAGGGAATACAGATCAAGGACCTTCAACCGTTCCCAGTAGTTTAGGTGCCTTATCGCACTTATGTGTGCCATGAAAGTTCTTTGTACACTCTCCAGGTCTGCAATGTCGCCAGCCTTGAAGGGGGCCGTTAGTGTACAGCAGTATTTCAGCCTAGAGAGCACAAGCGATTTGAAAAGAATCATCATGGGCTTGGCAATCCTAGTTTTGAAGGTTCTCATTATCCATCCTATCATTTTCCTAGCGGATGAGGTAGATACATTGTTGTGGTCTTTGAAGGCGAGATCCTCTGACATTATCACTGCCAGGTCCTTCACACTACTTTTCTGCTCTATTGTATGGTTAGAATTTGTGGGATACCCTGACACATTTTTAATTTCTTCAAGTTTTCCATATCTGAGTAGTTGAAATTTCTCCTCGTTGAACTTCATATTGTTTTGAGTGGTCCATTCGAAGATTTGGTTGATGTCCGCTTGGAGCCTCGTGGTGTCTTCGATGGAGGTCACTGCCATGGTGATCCGGATGTCATCTGCAAAGGAAGACACGGAGCTATGGCTTACATCTCTGTCTATGTCAGAAATGAGGATGAGGAATAGAATGAGAGTGAGTACTGTGCCTTGTGGAACAGAGCTTGTTACCGTGGCTGCCTGGGACTTTACTCTGTTTACTATTACTCTTTGTGTTCTATTTCTCAGGAAGTTGTAGATCCATCTACCAACTTTTCCCGTTATTCCTTTATCCCGCATTCTGTGTGCTATTACATCATGGTCACACTTGTCGAAAGCTTTTACAAAGTCTGTGTATACTACATCTGTATTTTGTTTATCCTCTACAGCATCCAGGATCTTGTCATAGTGGTCCAGTAGCTGGGACAGGCAGGAGCGACCTGCTCTAAACCCATGTTGCACTGGGTTGTGTAGTTGATGGGTATCTTGGTGGTAGGCTATCTTGCTTCTTAGAACCCTCTCAAAGATTTTTATGATAGAGGATGTTAGTGCTATAGACCTGGTCACAGACCGGACCGCGGGGGCGTTGACCCCCGGAGCTCTCTCCAGGTAAACTCCAGGTATCGGTCTGTAGTTCATTGCAATCGCTTTACTGCCACCTTTGTGGAGTGGGGCTATGTCTGTTGTTTTTAGTGTGTATGGGATGACCCCTGTCTCCATGCTCCCTCTCCATAAAATGCTGAAGGCACGCAATAGGGGCTTCTTGCAATTCTTGATGAGCACAGAGTTCCACGAGTCTGGGTCTGGGGCAGAGCGCATGGGCTTGTCATTAATTGCCTCTTCAAAGTCTTGTGGAGTTAGAATAATATCCGAGATTTTTGGGATGACCAAATTTTGAGTTTCGTTCATAAAGAATTCATTTGGGTTGTGGACCCCTAGTCTGGACAGTGGCTTGCTCAACACTGAGTCATACTGGGACTTTAGTATCTCACTCATTTCTTGTTTATCATCTGTGTATATCCCATCCCGTGGAAATAAACTATGGTCCCGATAACGCACGAACTTATCTTATGATCTTATCTAACGTGGTCATTGGCAAGCAGATAACCAAATGAGCGCAGTGTAATGGTAAACCAACCCAAAATTACTTAACGAGGTTTGAGCTACTAACACTTCAGGAATAATGCACACCTGGTTCGAAAGCAACTTTATCGGTCTCCATGTGTAAAAAGTACATTACAGCTTGAACGATCCAGAGAAGAGCTACAGGTAAGTCTAAATATATTTGTACTTGATCAAATTATGATGGTATAAATACCGACAAGTTGATGAATATGACACATGTGCAACACTTAAATGGGAAGATGCTCTTTACCACTCTCTCATCTACCCTTACCTCACATATGGTATTTGTGCATGGGGCTCAACCACAGCAAATCACCTTAAACTTTTAATAACTCAACAAAAAGCTGCAGTGCAACTGATTACCAACTCCTGCACTAGACAGCACACTACACCGCTTTTCAAGAGCGGGAGACTCTCAGGTAAAATATATGGACCATGCTTTTTGTAACAGAGATAGAAAAATCAGAGAGTGTGCCTCCCAGGAGCTGGTGTTGGTGATATAGCCAGTAGGTTGGACAATATTATGTCAGGTAATGGGAACAAGTCTATTATCCGTCTTAGTGCTGGTGGAAATGACATTGGGAAGGGCAGGAGACAGGAGCTACTGGATAAGTACAGGTCAGCCATAGAAGTAGTCAGGTCTAAGGGAGGGATCCCAATCATATGTAGCATCTTGCCTAGAAGGGGAGTGAGCAATGAATGGATGTCTATGGCAATTGGTATAAATTGCTGGCTAGACAGGTACTGCAAGGAACTTGCAATCCCATTCATTGATAACCGGGACAAATTCTATGGCAAACATGATATGTATGCAAGGGGTGGGGTTCATCTCTCTGGGGCTGGAGTGGTTGCATTAGCCAATTCGATTGAGGGGGGTAATTGATGACTTGTGTAGGACTTTAAACTGATAAATTATAGAGGTATGGGTGTTTGTGGGAAACAATCAGGCTGAAATATTATTGTTGGAAAGAGCAGATATCATTAGGATACCTCAGGGATATGTTTAAAAGACAATATTCAAAATAAAGTTCCTAGTGAGACCCGTAAGGAAACACTATGACATATTTATTAGAAAACGTTTCGGTCCTGGGACCTTGATCACTTCTAACATACAGAGATAGAAAGACATTATATATATAGGCGGAGAGTGAGGTGTGAGTGATGCACGGTGACCTGAAGAATGTCATGTTGGGATGAGGACGGGTAGACAGTGAAATCATGTGACTCCTGTGTTGTTGGGTTGGTGGTGCTTAAGTATCATGAATGCCAATGTTTTTGAAATTTTGTAGTTTCCAATGTTACGTTCTATAGTGTCGGTGACGGCGATTAGTGAGGCTTCTAGGCACCGTCGGCGTCTGAGGTCTGGTTCGGTGAGAACGAGTTGTGCCTGGAATGAGGCACAACTCGTTCTCACCGAACCAGACCTCAGACGCCGACGGATGGACATAGGACATAGGACAGCACTGGTTTGGTAATAGAGTTGTGGATGAGTGGAACAAACTCGTGAGTGCCATCATAGAAGCTAAGACCTTGTGTAGTTTCAAAAATAGGTTGGATAAATACATGAGCGGGTGTGGGTGGGTGTGAGTTGGACCTGACTAGCTTGTGCTACCAGTTCTGGTGCCGTACTCCTTCCTTAAGTGGAAGTGACCTGACTAGGTGGTCACTGCTCTAAGCTGGGGGTGGCATGGATCTGCTTCGCATGGATCAGTAGGCCTGTTGCAATGCTCCTTTTTTCTTATAAGAACATAAGAAAGAAGGAACACAGCAGCAGGCCTGTTGGCCCATATTAGGCAGGTCCTTCACAATCCATCCCACTAACAAAACATTTGCCCAACCCAATTTTCAATGCTACCCAAGAAATAAGCTTTGATAATTCTATTTACCCATGGCCAGCAGTAACAGCCTGGTTGATCAGACCCTGATCCACCATGAGGCCTGGTCTCAGACCGGGCCGCGGGGGTGTTGATCCCCGAAACCCTCTCCAGGTAAACTCCAGGTAAACCCATGTGCAAGTCCCGCTCAAATCCAACCCCTCTCACTCACATATTCATCCAACCTAAATTTGAAACTACCCAACGTTTTAGCCTCGATAACCCAACTAGGTAGACTGTTCCACTCATCAGCTACCCTATTTCCAAACCAATACTTTCCTGTATCCTTTCGAAATCTAAACTTGTCTAATTTGAATCCATTACTGCGGGTTCTCTCTTGGAGAGATATCCTCAAGACCTTATTAACATCCCCTTTATTAATACCCATCTTCCACTTATACACTTCTATCATGGTCTGACAAGATGATGTTCATCTTGTCAGACACTGCAACACGTGGCATCTTGGTACAGAAAACACTTCTATCATGTCTCCCCTCATTCTTCGTCTAACAAGTGAATGTAATTTAAGGGTCTTCAATCTTTCTTCATAAGGAAGATTTCTAATGCTGTGTATTAATTTAGTCATTCTACGCTGAATGTTTTCTAAAGAATTTATGTTCTTATTTTCTAACTTGCTTAATATATAAAACAGCTACACTTATTATTGGCCTACTACACCCACAGAACATTATACTCAAATATTAACCCTTCCCTCAAATTACTCCTTGATAACTACGGTAGAACAAACAGGTATAACACAAGGTACAAATCACTCTTCGATATCCTTCATATGTCCATCTTTCTCCATGCAAAAATGCTGTGCACATAAAGGGCCCGAAGATCTGGAATTCATTGCCAGAACACACTAAAGGGCCCCTGGTGCCTGCAAATCAATATAAGACCCTACTTAGAAATTCAAATTTAAATGTTATTTCTCTATAAAGCTTACAATGTGTGGTTTACATATAAAACAATAATTACAAAGAAGGCCACTAGCATGCCTAGGAATTTCGGGCAGACTAATAATAATTCTTACTCTATATTACAAATTACAAATCACCTCATCACCCAAAACTAACCAGACAAACACTTTACTGCTTAATGCCTACCAGTTACTCAAAAGTTACTAAAAAAACTCCTAAATAATTTAAGACTGTTTAACTGTTTGATCATTTACTTCAAACATAAAATTCTTTCAACTTCATTGTTTTAAATTGTGCTAAATTGTAATACTGGTTTTTTATAAACTATATCAAAACTGTAATTATTCTCTACTGAGCTTACTAAAGCCATATAGCATAAACTAGTTGGATATGGATATGGTGACGTGTACTTAGCTCTGTGAAGACCTGTTTGTGGGCTCTCTACGGATTGAAGCAAGATACCCTCCATCGAGCAACTTTACCAACAGCTTAAGGAAGAATTGAGGATGGCGAAGATGGAGGTTCGGCGACTGACCGATGAAAACAAGAAGATTCGTGTAGTCCTCCTGTTTTGAGTCCTCAGGTCAAGAAGGGAAACTGGTCATTGGCTGGACAGCAGGGAACGAAGCTGACGATCAAGAAGACGAATGGAAAGGTAGAAACGATGAGGAAGAAAGAGACTGCCGTGGAAACTGTTGTGGAAACATCTAATACATTCTCAGTGCTACCCGACGAATGTGAGTCGACTACTGGGAAAGTCACGACGAATGTGAGTCGACTACTGGGAAAGTCACGACGAACGATGCCAAGGAAGGTAAGAATATTGTTGTTGCTGGGGATAGCCAAGTTAGGTATATGGATGAACATCAAAATGGTATACAATACCGACAGGTTGGTAGGTAAGACACATAGGCAACAGTTAGGCAACTTTATTCCGAAACTGTGTAGGCGAAACGTTTCGGAATAAAGTTGCCTAACTGTTGCCTATGTGTCTTAGGTATATGGATAGGGCTTTCTGCTTGAAGGACAGGAGTAGGAGACAGAGGGTTTGCTTTCTTGGGGCTGGGATGGAGGATACTGTTAGCTGTCTGGATGACATCATGAGAGGTAATGGGAGCAATCCTATAATCTGTCTCAGTGCTGGAGGCAACGATGTTGGCAGATGTAGGACTGAAGACCTGATTAGCAGGTATAGGTCAGCAATAGAAATAATTAGGAGAAAGGGTGGGAACCCTGTCATATGTGGTATTTTGCCAAGGAGAGGAGTTGGAAATGAATGGTTGTCCAGGGCAATTGGTGTCAATTGCTGGCTGGACAAATACTGTAAGGAAAATGTGGTAACATTCATTGACAACTGGGACCTCTTCTATGGCAGAAATGACATGTATGCCAGGGATGGGGTTCACTTATCTAGGTCTGGGGTGGGGGCACTAGCAACTGCAGTGGAGGGAGCTGTTAGGACTTTAAACTAGGAATAGTTAGTGGTATGGGTTTTGGCAGGAAAACAGTGAAGTCCCAGTGTAGTAATATTATAAGTTCTAGGGGAACTAGTAATAAGCAGAACGAGGTAGATATTGAAAAGCCAGTGACACTGGGTGATAAGGACAGTAATAGGTTTAGTAGAAAAACAGAAATGAGCAGGAAGGGTAAAGAGAAAGGAGAGTCTTTCAATGTTTATTATGTTAATAGCCATAGTGCTAGGAATAAGATGGACGAGTTGAGATTAGTTGCTAGTGCAGGTAACATTGATGTATTTGCCTTAACTGAGACGTGGTTTAATTCAAAAAGTCGGGACATGCCTGCGGAATGTCACATTCAGGGTTTTAAACTGTTCCAAGTAGATAGAAGTATCGGGAAGGGGGGTGGGGTGGCATTGTATGTCCGAAATCGCTTGAACTGTTGCATAAAAACGGGTATTAAGTCTGAAGTACACATACAGAGTCTGTTTGGATAGAATTTTCAGAGGGGCATGAAAAACTGATTTTAAGAGTGATATACCGTCCCCCAAACTTAGATAGGGACCAAGGGAGACTACTACGGGAGGAAATTGTTAAGGCCACAAGGCACGATAATGTAGTAATTCTAGGAGACTTTAACTTTAGTCATATTGATTGGAATTTCTTGACTGGGAATTTAGAATCATACGACTTCTTAGAAGTAGTTCAGGATTGTTTTTTGAAGCAGTTTGTGACAGAACCTACAAAGGGAAATAACCTGCTTGACTTAGTTCTGGCAAACAATGAATCCCTCGTTAATAATTTAGAAATTTCAGAGGAACTGGGTGCTAGCGACCACAAATCAATTACATTTAGCATTGAATGGAAGTACGATAGTAGCGATAACTCAG